TTTTCTAGAAGAAACCTTTACTTGTGATGATTGACTAAAGTCTCTGAATATTGATGAAAATTATTAATCTGATTTGGTGTTTTTTTTTGCTTTTGTCCGAAGCGTAAGTAGGTTTCTTAGTGATCTTCTTATGAATTGTCCGATTCCTGAACTTAGATTTACTCTTCTCCTGGTTGTCTCAACGTTTTTTATTTCATGTGATGTCTCTTAGCCTCATTTTTGAATCGTGATGACTATCAACTGCCCATGTAGCTGATGATTTTTTAGAACTAAATGTTCAGTTTTGTTTGTTTCGTTCCAATCAATGAATAATTGTTGAATGAAAGTCTTTATGAGTAGACGAAAAATTTACTCGAAATTATGTGCAAAGGACACTTCAATTTTAAACATGAACTTCATTTAAAATGTTTGCTCATTGAACTTATATGTTTTTCTGGTTTGAAGCAACAATGTTGAGTTCGTTTGATGTTTCTTAGCCCCACTCTTGAACCCTGATGATTATCAACTGCCCATTTAACTGATTTTTTTTCTTGCAAATTGAATGAGTGTGGAAAGTGTTATTTGCTTTCGAATGGAATAGTTATTTTCTTCTATTGAATGTCGTTTTTCCAGAAGAAACCTTTACTTGTGATGATTGACTAGAGTCTCTGAATATTGATGAAAATTACTAATCTGATTTGGTGTTTTTTTTTTGTTTTGGCCGAAGCGTAAGTAGGTTTCTTATGGATCTTCATATGAATTGTCCGGTTCCTGAACTTAGATTTACTCTTCTCCTGCTTGTCTCAACGTTTTTAATTTCATGTGATGTCTCTTAGCCTCATTTTTGAATCGTGATTACTATCAACTGCCCATGTAGCTGATGATTTTTTAGAACTAAATGTTCAGTTTTGTTTGTTTTCCTCCAATCAATGAATAATTCTTGAATGAAAGTCTTTATGAGTAGACAAATTATTTACTCGAAATTTTGTGCAAAGGACACTTCAATTTTGTACATGAACTTCATTTAAAATGTTTGCTCATTGAACTTAAATGTTTTTCTGGTTTGAAGCAACAATGTTGAGTTCGTTTGATGTTCCATAGCCCCACTCTTGAACCGTGATGACTATCAACTGCACTTTGAACTTCTTTTTTCTTGCAAATTGAATGAGCGTTGAATGTGTTATTCGCCTTCAGACGGAATAAATATTTTTTTCTATTGAATGTCTGTTTTCTAGAAGAAACCTTTACTTTTGATGATTGACTAGAGTCTCTGAACGTTGATGAAACTTACTGTAACTGCTACGTTATCAATTAATTCGAATAGGTTCGGCATTTGATATCTATTACGAAATATCTGTTTGTTCAATAGTTTCGAGTTTATTGCTAATTTAATTGATCCGTCCCTTTTTGCTGTAATCACGATGGGGGAGACGAATCAATCTTCAGAGCATCTAGACAACTTTTCAATATGCCCGTCTCTTAGTAATTGGTCAATACATAATTTGACTTTAGGGAGAAGATGGATCGGAATACGTTTCCCTTTCACCTGTATCGGTTTTATTGGTTCGTTAAAATAAGTTTTAACTACGAAGTTCTTTGATCTACCTGTTCTTTTTATGAGGTCTGAAAAATGTTTTGATAAGTATGTTTTAAACTCACTTTGAGATGGTGTCTCTTGGCTTTGGTCTTGTTTGTTATCCGATGCGAATTTTATTTGGTTGACGTCTATCCCAATGGGTGATCCTTTCTGGTCTTTCCATGGCTTTGGCCCATTGGGTGGATGTTGTTTCTGGAATACTACGATTCCCAGATTCGGTAAGATGTCATTTCCCATTACATTTCTTTCAGCCCCTTCGGTAATGAAGAGTTTTTGGTCGCGAGCCTCCCAGCCCTTTGATCGGATTCTCACCCGAACTCTTCCAATAATGTTGATTGTACTCCCGAAGCCCTGGTATGCTTTCTTTGTTATTTCGTCCACAGGTTCTAGCTTTACAAATCTATCTCGTATCTTCAATTCGTCTTTTTTCATGAATGCAACTGGACTTGCTGAGTCAATTTGAATTTCAGTACAGTAAGGGTTGAAATTTCCCAGAGATACCTTTAGTGTCTTTTTCAGTTCTAGTCCTTCGTGATTGAATACTGTTCTAACTCCGCGTTCTATCTTGTCTTCTACTGCATTTATTTGGCTATCCGTGTCTACAGCTAGAACTAAGAAATCGTCTAAGTTGACCTCAAATTCGGGATTTTCCTGCGGGTTGGCCCGGATATTTTCGTTTTCCTGCGGTACTCGATTCTGTTCGACGATGTTTGTTTGTGTCCTTGCTGAACTCCTGCAATGTTTAGCAAAATGTCCTTTGCGTCCGCACGTATTGCAGCTTCTATCTCTGGCCGGGCATGTGGATAAATGTCCTTTTTTGAATTGCTGACCACAGTTGCGGCATTTGTTATTTTCAACGATGTTTAGGGTTGGTTCATTCTTTACGTATTGAGGTCTCGGTACTGCGTTATAAGTTGGGAATTTGAGGTACTGTTGATGGATTTTAGTGCCTTTCTCGTGAAATAATACGTAGGATAGTACGTTTTCTGGGGTCAAGTATTCTATACATTGTTTCTTCTGGATCTTGACATTTCTCATGTTTGTGATGAAAATGTCTCTGACTAATTCTGACTCGAATTCCCCCAGTTTACAGTTTTTTGCCAGTTCAGAAAGTATTTCGTGGAATTTTTCTAAAGACTCGTGTTCTTTCTGTCTTCGGCCAAAAAATTTAAATATTTCGTATGTTAAGTTTGTAGTGATCGTGAAGGTAGTTTTTAGTAGTTCCCAGAATTCTGCGAAATTTCTATCCAGAATTCTTTTCCCAGGATTTTTATGTGAGAAGCATTTTTCTGCCCTTCTTTTCCGAGTGCTAGGTATAACTGTGATTTTAGTTTCTTGTCAATGTCTCCGATTTGGAGTCCGTTGAATTTTGCGTTGTCTTCCGTCCTTCTCAATTCTTCGTTACAGTTTTGTACGGCTATTCTGTGGTGTTCTTCTTTTTCGGCCCGACGGGCTTGATCATCGGACGGGTCCGGTGGTTCTGCCGTAGGGTATGCTAGTTCGTTTCTTATCGGTGGGTTAATTACATCTTCGATGTCTACGGAATCTTTCGCGATTGTCAATTGAAACTTTTCCGACCACCTTTCCCAGTCGTGTTGATTTTCATTTTATGAGTTGTTCCAAAAAACTCTAGTCCTCGTAGGTTCGATTCGTTTGACTGCGCCATGTTAAAAAATTGGGATAACACTCGTAGTTGATTAAGAGTGGGTAACTTAAACTAAGACTAAGGTTGGGTAAGATTCCTACAAGAAATTGTAGGCTTTTTTAAAGACTAAATAAAAGACGGTGATAGCTAACTAAAGTAAAAGAGGTTTAAAAGACTGAATTAGTTTTCTGTTGATTTCTTGCATATCACAAAAGATAGTGAACAAATTCCAAATCTACCAAAAGCCGTTGCGCTTTTGGCAGGTGTATATAAATTAATAACGTAAAGGTCAACGATCAGTATAGCTCAGAGGTTAAACGGTCAAACATTAATAATACATTTTACAAATTGAATGGGCGTTGAATGTGTTATTCGCCTTCAGATGGAATAAATATTTTTTTCTATTGAATGTCTGTTTTCTAGAAGAAACTTTTACTTTGGATGATTGACTAGAGTCTCTGAACGTTGATGAAACTTACTAATCTGATTTACTGAAAACGGCAAAGTCCTCTGTCACACCGAGATTTAAAATGGTGCGCCGATGGCGGAATTATTTGAGGAATTCTGTTTTGTTGAATATTACAATCAATCTAGGGAGTGGTTTCCTCGAGCTACTCGTGGAGAAAACAGAGCTGTCATGGTTGAAAACGTTGTCAATGAACCAGAGCTACATTATTTGTTCATTGGTCAGACTGGTTGCTATCACAACATTATTGAAAAGAGGATGTGAGACAAACATCAAAATGCTGATAGTCTCACTCAAAAGTTTAGTGACAACAAAACTGTGCAGGAAAAAAATCAAAAAAATAGATACAAAATACATTTGCCATTGAGCCAAACTTATAATAAGATTGGTTGGATGAAGTGAAATGTCCTGGAATCTTAAGTCGGAAAATTTTTAACCTTACACCAGTAGTAACAATTTGTAGATACATGGTTGCTCTGGATCTAAGTAAGTTTTCAAAGTTAAGACTACATAGGCAAACATTCGAGTAGAGTTTGCGTTTTTTCCTCATCTATTCTGTTTTATTATGGGCATGAAATGAAATGAACAAACCAAGAATAAAGAAAAAACTCCAGATACAAGAGTTGTTTCACAATATTTTTTCTTTTTCTATTTTTGTCTTATTTTATTCAAGGAAAAAACATGAGTCACTTCTGCTATTTGCTTTAGAATTTATTGACACAGAAATTGTGTATTTCATAGCAAAATTTTTAGAAAACAAATGTAACAGACTTTTGCAATTCAAAGGTTTTTTTAATTAAATTGATTCAATTGTAGAAAAAAAAGGTTAACGATATTTTCTGCCTTGAAAAAGTCCGGAAAAAGTTTTTAAGTTTGTTCACGTTCAGTTTTGATTTTTCGCGGTTTGACTTGTGATTTCTCTTAAAGCTCAGTACATTCCTATTGTTAAAAGGAAGGCAAAATCCACTATCGAGCAGCAAAATTGTAAAGGTCACGAAAAACGTGATTGACTTGTAATTTCGAAAATGAAAATTAATTATCATATTTCCCAGCGAATTAAAATTTTTACCTATTGATCCAGCTTTCTCAAATTGGGTTAATTTTAACAAAAAAGTGTCAATTATAAATTATTATACTAATTCAAAGAGCTTTAAGGCCATCTATTTATTCGAAATACGCAAGTTGAAGATTTTTAAAGAAACAAGTCGGTTTTATTTTCATTTCTCTTGCGTTCATTACTCTTTTCCAACTGTCAGTTGGCTATGTTTTGTTTTTTCGAAGCCAATCAACTCATTCGTGGCTTTTTATTTTAGCAACTCAAATAAAACCTATCGCCACTCTATCCAGTTGCAATGGAGCTGTCACATGTATAGACGTAGACCAGCAGGAGTCATGTGTCGTTGCTTCTTCTTACGATAACTCATCTCGCATCTGGTCTCTGAAAGACCACAGACTAAAGCACAGTTTAACTGGCCATACTGGGAAAGTAATGGCTGCTAGATTTATTAGCGACGACAGTCACAAGGTGAGTTTGAAGATTAAGATTATACTCGCCTAAATGTTGTATGCCCTTTCAGAAAATAGGCTTAATTGTTTTTGTTGCACATGTACTGTGCATTTTTTAGTTTTTAGGGGTGAAAGAACGAAGTGATTTTCACTGATAAAGCTCTTGTAAATCGATTTTCGTTTTTTTAAGGAAAGTTTTAAAATTAATATTTTCACGTTCGATTTAGATTTTTCGCTGGTTTGACTTGGTTTCTTTTTAAGTTCAGTTCATTTCCTTTGTTAAAAGGAAGGCAAACTCCACTATCGATCAGCTTAAGTGAAGCGGTCATGGAAAACCTGAATGACTTCTCTTTTCTATAATGGGAAAAATGGACTCAATGGATCCAGTTTTCTCTAAATGGGATATCTTAATGAACAAAGTGCTAATCAGAAACAGTATTACAAATTCAAGGAGCTTAAACGTGATTTTTTTTTCTGAATTTTTCAATCATTTTTTTTTCTGCTTTCTTTGTTCTTTTACACTTTTTCAAAAAAAAATCGGTTGTCTTGTCATTAAATTTTTCCAACTTTCTGTTGGCTATTTTATAATAATTAACTGCACGGTCTGCGCTTCAGTAGCTTTGTTAACTGATCTTAACGAGCTTTGATTTAATTTTTTTTCTATCGCGATGCAGGTCGCTACTGGAAGCTACGATCGCACGATTAAAGTGTGGGATCTGAAGCAGCGGCTGTGCTCCATGGTTCTGCATTGTCACTCCAGTTGTACAGACTTGGTGGCGATGGAGGCTAATCTGTTGTGCAGTGGTCACTTGGACAAGAGGGTCAGATGTTGGGACATTCGCAGGTCACAGACTGATTTCGCCACCAATGAAGTCCTACTCTCCGGCAAAGTCACTTCAGTTCATACTGGCAGAGGTAAAATGAAGAGAGTTAAATGAGCAAAAATGTAGATCAAATAGCTAAACGCATGGCAAGATCATATTGCTGGAATTAAAGTTTTGGCCTCATTTGTTGATAGATTTAAAAGCCTGAGGTCGTCATATTTCATGAATTTGTGAGCTGAAATTCATGTTGTTATGACATGGTTTAACGGAGCTCAGTTTTCCTCATTGTTCGTACAACACAGTAGCTACTGCATTTTTTGATACGACTGAATCGTCAAAATTGCAGCACTTGGCCGTTCTTTCAGAACGCAGAGACATTTTGGCCTGCACCAAAGACGGGCAACTGCACGTGATAGACCACCGGATGATGAAGGTGACAGCAACACTAGTTTCGGACTCTTTGAAGATAGGGGCCGACTACTGTAGAGCCACCCTCAGTCCCGATGGCAGATTCGCGATGGCCGGTAGTAGCGACGGCACCCTCGTCATTTTCGACGTCAACTCTCAGAATGTGTCCAAAATCTTGAAAGCACAGCATCAGTAAGTGTTGATTGTTTTAAGGTTTCTTAGGCCAATTTCATTAGATCATAATCTGAGTTGGTGATGGAGATAGCAATTGTTGTTTTGGCTCGTATATCATTAGCTTTTTGACATTCATTTTGATCCTGAAATTGATTCATTATTCGACATGATGTCTTCTTAACGATGTGTTGAGCTAATTTGTTTGAGGTTGCTTTGTCCATGACTTCATTCTTTGCATTCTTTTAATACTCAATGTCTTTTTGAGTGTAATAGTTGATAAAGAACTTAGATAATTGTTCGACCACTTAAGGCGAAAAGGAACTTGCTCCATAATGAGCTACCTATCAATATTGGTATTTGAGGCACGTTTATAATAACTTGAAATTAGTTTAAATGATATAAAAGCATGCGTCAGAGTCTCCAACGAATGTGTAACACCAAAAAAAATAAAACTAAAGCTTTTAGACTCCTTTCCGATTGAAAAAAAGCACATTAAAAATGATGTATATAGTGCCGGCTTGTTTCTGTCTTAAGTGGAAAAAATGCTATTGCGTACATTATAAAGGTGCTGCAGAGAAATATTTTTGGTTTAAGAAAAAAAGGTAGAGCACCAATCCTGGTAAATTGTTTTCCTCGAAGAAATGGTCTCCCAAGCAAAAATTCGCATTTGAATTTAGATTTTTTTCTACCAAACATTTTTCTCGGCTCTTTTATAAAATATACTTCAGTCGATCAATTCATTGCGTGCTACGAAAAAATCAACCATTTTCTTGCATTTGATGAGGTCTTTCGTAGCAAGTGGTCTTTACTGTTTCTTGGGAGGGGGGGGGGAGGCCCAATTGATCCGATGAAAGTACACTAGTGGACAAAATTAAACGCAAATTCAGTTTTTTCCCTAACGTGCCTGTTTTCAAGGATTTCATTTTACATAGACCTGTTTTCAGTTTACGTAGTAGACCATGAGTAAAAAATCAGAGCTGCCCTCTATGAAAGTATCAAAGACTTACCAGTTTTTTTCCGAATCTGAAAAGGCCAGTTTTGACCATCTGCAGTAAGTTTTGCATCGGAGTGAACTCGGGTAAGCGGAGAAAAAAGTTGTTCATGTGATGTGAAACATTCTAAGCAATATTATTGAACTGTTTAATGTGACAACTTAACTAAACTCAGCTGTTTCTTACAATTTCGCGCTTCTTAAAATTTCGCAAAATGATGGTGGCTGGAGCATTGTGCTTCGTACAGCAACCAACTGTTATTGTTGTAATGTATTGTGTTAAACTTTTACTCGAATGATGTTTTCTAGTGGATCTGTGTTCTAGCTCCGTCATTCTCTGCACTGCATGGTCTAACGACGGAACGAAACTTCTCAGTGCGGACAAAGGCAAGAAAGTGATTCTTTGGTGCGATAGAACTTACTAGAAACAGTGTTCGATCAGTTTTGAAATAAAGGAAATTACACCAGGTGCTAATATCAGACAACAAACAACGAATTCTTGACATTTCTAAACTTATACTACTAAGCTTCTTTATCCCCAGAAAGTAGATGAATTTTATCACGTATCGTATATTCTGAATGAATAAATTAGGTAGATTTAATTTTTCAATGCTTATCCGCTTTCAGTTGTCAAGTGTCAAGGAAACAATTCAATCTAAACTTGTACATGTAATTTTTTCAGTGAAAGTTGTAAAATGTGCCCTTTAAATTTTGTTGCAATCACCATTAAGGCGGTTTGGTTTGACTTGGAAGCCATTTGTTTTTACTTCCTCTTCCTTCTTTCCGAAAACAAAATTCGAGCTTTGTTATCCAGCTTTAAAAAGGGTTTGATTCCTAGTTGAACGAAAAAGCTATCGGTTAAGTTCGTCCAAAATAGGTTCATGGTTTTATAAAAATCTTTGAAATGATGCTTCTTTAGCGCAGTTTTTTTGTTTTTATTTCACTTTTTTCGCGGAGACTGCAAGAAAGAGAATAAATTGTGTACCATATGAGATACATTTCCAGAAAATCTGTCAATAATTTAGACGGTTTCAGAAATTCCTAATTGATTAATTAGACTTGCGATCAGCTTAGTGTTTTATTACGAACCTTATTTTTTTTCTAACCTAGGTCGCAAATAAAAGTGTTCATTAAAAATGTTCCCTTATTTGGAATTTTCACTTAAACATTGGAAATTGCCTAGCATCTGTTCTCTTCTTTATTTCTGGCTGGTGTTTGTACCTATAAAGCTTCCGTTGCTGAGTGGTTAGTGTGTGAGACTCTTAATCCCTAGGTCACAGGTTCGAATTCAGACGTAGCCGAATTTTTTTTTTACTAATTCGAGGCTTTTTCTAATTTCTCTTATCGCACTTATAGAGCTGCTTTTGTCGTGTTCTCGCAAGTGTTTGCAAAGCTGAGCTTCCCTTCTGTGTAAAAACTGGTTTTAAGAAAATGTATGGGATCGGGTTTTTTTAATTAAGAGTCTATGAACATGAGTCAGACTCTTGTATAGGCGATGATGATTTTTTTTGTTTTTTTTTAATCAGAAAAAGTCTTGAAGTTTGTTCAGGCTCAAATTTACTTCTTAGCGGTTTGACTTTTTAATTTTTTAAGTACTCTTTATTTCCTTTGTTAAAAGGAAGGCAAACTCTACTATCGAACAGCAGAAGTGTTAATGTCACGAAAAAAGTGATTGACTTCCAGTTTCGAAAGTTGAATTTAATTCAACTTTTCTGATTTATCAGCGGAAAAAAACTACATTTTGATCCAGTTTTTTTAAATTGGAATAATTTAATCAAAAAAAGTGTCGTCAATCATAAATTTTTCGAGAAATTCAAAGAGCTTTAAGGCCAACTATTGTTTTCTTGGAGTTTTGAAAGTTGAGATTTTTTGAACAAACAAGTCATTTTTTTTAGTGTTCACTTGCGTTCATTGACTTTTTTCCAACTGTCTCTTGATAACATGAAGTTAAACTTATCTTGAACTGTCTCTTGAAAACTTAAACTCATCGAAAGTTTAAGTTTTTCTCAAAAACTGCTCTACCAATTTTTACAAAAGATGTACCAATGGACACCTAACTTCTACAGGCTTCAAAAAGTCTTTGGGGGGATTGTTTGAGCTGGCATTTTTCGAGAAAGTGATAAAAATCCAAAAACAGATTTTGATTTTAATGGAAAAAATGGCTTATAGAAAGCTCACTTGCATTAGCGTTTACGCCCAAATTTCTATACAGAAAAAGTTATGATTCTTGGGAAAATCGAATTTTTGACCATGTTTCAAACTTTTGACATTTCTTATAAAAAATACACCTCCAAATGTGAGATTTTAGTTTCAAAGAACAGATTGTGCGAAGCTCTCCTGCACAAGCGGGTATATCCAAATGCTTTCCACGCTTCTGATTTCTGAGAATAATGATTGCTCTACTTCTGAATTCAACACTCCAAAATGATTGGCAGGCTCAACTGTTGACCGTTCTTCGATTGCGCTGGTCGCGGTTAACTTTTGTTCGACCGCTGCGGTCGCGGTTAAATTTTTGTGTCACGCCGGTCGAGGTTAACTCTTCTTTGGCTGCGCCCGTGTCGCCGTTATCTTTCCTTTGGTCGCGGTTAACTTTCCTTTGGTCGCGGTTATTTTTTTTTCGCCGCGTCGGTCGCGGAGACATTGCCTTGTTCTGCCAAATATGAAAATCTAAATTTGGTCGCAACGGTCTGATTATAAAACCACAACCTCGACTCAGGGTGGATATGTCGAGTGCAGTATCGTTTTATAGCCTTCAAGTCAGTTCCCGATATTGGGTTCCCAAGAAAAAGAAAGGGTGTTCATTAAGAGAGCGAAATATTTAATTTTATTCGTTTAAGAGAAATGAACGTAGTGGAGACTCTTATATAGGTATTGCTGATTTTTTCTTTTTTGTTTTTTTTTTCAGAAAAAGTCTTAAAATATTGCTGCACTGAAGTATAATGCACTTTTTGAGTTCAATTGAAATTCATCTGCTGAAAGTGACGTAAATAAAACTCCCAAATACGAACGTGGAATTGGCGCGAAAAAACGTGATTGATTTCTAGTTTCGAAAGTGGAATTTGTTTTTAAGGTTTCCCAGCGGAATAAAAACTTTTCTTATTGATCCAGTTTTCTCAAGTTGGGTTCATGTTATCAAAAAGCGCCAATCATAAACTGTTCTAGAAATTCAAAGAGCCTAAAGGGTATCTGTTTTTTTCTTTGAAATTCGAAAGTTGAGATTTTTTCAAGAAAGTCAAGTGTTTTTTTTTGTTAACTTGCGTTCATTACTCTTTTCGAATCTTAGATTGGCTATGTTTTCATTTTATAGTAAGACAACATAGAAGTGACTCGTTGGCCTGATTTGAAATCATGATAAATTGCTGGGAATAGTTTATTGAAAAATCGACAGTAACCGACTGACAGTAACGTTGAATATCAAAAGGTGGAATTTTTTCGCGGCCCACTTTGTCGCTCTTACCCCTGTAAAGGATCGAAGTTTTTCTGCGAACGTTCTTCAGATCTCTAAGTAAAAAAGATTAAAACGTCTATGAGCTTCGGTCAAATGCGGCCAAAATCCAATCCAAATCAATTTTCAGAATAACCTATAAGTAAAATGAAAAGTATAATCAGAATTTAATACGATTGTTTTTAAAAATATAATACTGCTTAATTTAAAAAACACATCCAATATAAGCACATGATTATTGAAACATTCCGATATATAAGCATATATAAAACAAGGAAACTTCAAAACAAGTTATCTAGTCTACAAATCAGCATTGCGTATTTGCAATTTTATCAAGATTGGTTATCTGCACTCGGTTTTCATCTTTTGTTGAAGTTTCACGTGAAGTTTTGGCCCTTTGCTCTTTATTGCGTTTGGAGGAATCTGCTGTCATCATTTCCGTACACGTAGCACCACCGTGCAAAAACTCTGCGTTGGGTGCGGATCTTCTAAGCTTCAAGCAAAGAGTTGACGCATTTTTCTGGAATTGCTCAGAACTGCACATGAAAATAATAGGGTTAATACATGGGTGAAGGTAAATCGCGCCGACACTCAACTCAAAGACGCGCTGCTTTGTCTCTCGGGATAAGTGAGTGTTTCCAAGAAAAAACAGACTAATGTAAAAGGGAGTCCAGCATAGAATGAATGCAAAGATAATAATCGTCACGACTTTGACTAGTTTAGTGGTGGTTTGGTCAACGTTAGAAACAGTGGTATTGGACGCTGTTTTTCGGAGGTCGAAAAAAATGAGGCCATAGCAGACTGTTATGACCAGAAGTGGGATACCATATCCAATTATGAACGATGCTATAGCCCACAGCATTCCGTACTCTCCCATAGCCAGGTGACACATCGTCTTTCCCCGGACTGTCTCGACGCTGGCTGTGATCCATGCCGGCTGGCTGAAGAGGACGGATGCTAGCCAGGCGAGTCCGATGCTGAGTAGACAGCCCTTCATGGTGCGCATGCGGAAGTTCACAGATCGCATGCAGTGAACAATGGCCAAGTAGCGATCTATGGCCATGAGGACGAGGATGAAGATGCCTGTGAACTGGTTCAGCGCATCAACTCCTGAAATTAGCACAACTGCTCCACACTTCCTTTTCCTCCCCGCTAATACATGTAACTGTTTTGTTTTATTGCCTAAATTTAGCTATGAGTTTGACCACGGGCATCTGGGAGTTTTTCGCAAAGCAGATTAGAAGCTCTAGAAAAAATCAAAATTCCTTGAAATGGATTTTTCATCTATAGATGAATAAACACATTTTTCCACAAAAAAAACGCCGAAAGCTTGCGCCGGGATTTTGTGCACTTTTGGAAAATTTTAACCAAAAAAATCATGTTTTTTTCCGATTGCCTTTCTACTTCGAAGTTAATAAATCTTAGGGTCATAATTTTTTTCGTTAAAGATATTTTAACTAATTCAATGCAAAGATTCAGAAGCTTAAAGTAAATTGGCAACCTAGAAACAATACTTGGCCCATTATTTTTAAGGAAAATTCTTTTCTAATTACCGTTCTTTGGAAAGCGGCCAAGGGCTACTATAGCTCGTGTGATGACCCAAATATTTAGTTCGAAAGATAATTATCCAAACTTAAGCTCAAGCCAGGGGCGGATTTAGTTAAGGGGGAGGCTGACTTGGAAAGGACGTGAATCCCCCCCCCCCCCACTTGCACCTCAATTATTCGGTTTCATCGCCACCAAAAGGGTTTCTCTTTAATACTATTTTATGATCTCCATTTTTGCCCAACCAACCGTAAAACTTTGTAAAACCGCCTTTGGCGCCAATATATACTAAGGTTGCGGGCGTGCGCTCAAAATTATGGGGGAGCGCTCTGAATTAGTGGGTCCCGGCACTCAAAAACTTTCTGAAAATCTGCCCCTCCTCTACTGGAGAAAAAATTGGATAGGCCCATAGCTCTTGCGTGCATGATTTGAACAGTTTTCCTAGCTACACTTGCGAAAGTAAGTGTCTTGTAACTGGGAACAAGACTTTTTTTTCCTCAAACAACTTCTATCAAATTTTTTTTGAATAGTTTTGAATTTTTTTATTATCTCAAAACCTTACCTCCTAAATCTGAGGTTGTAGGATCAAGGGAATTAACGAGTGTGGAAAGCTACCTGCATTAGCGCTGCACAAAGTTTTTTACACAGAAATTTATCAGCATCGGAAAAGTCGAATTTTTGGTTTTTTGACTGTTTTTGAAAACTTGGTGAATTTTCACATAAAGTATCCTCCATCAACAGATTTTGGGCTCAATCTAAGCAACGGTCTACGGAATCCTTGCGTTAAGGTCTCCTGTTTATGTGGCTTATCCCAAATTTATTTGACAGAAAAAGTTATGGCCCTCCAAAAAGTCACACTTCGGTATTTTGACGTTTTTAGAAACTTTTTGAACTTTCTCGATAACTACCTTCCCATATATGAAGTAAAGAGTTTAATTCAAAGAACGAGTTGTGGGTAGTTCTTTTGCATACGCGACTGTGCCCAAATTTTCTCGACGCAAAAAATTATGGCCCTCAGAAAAGTAAAAAAAAATGATTCTGTGACAGTTTTTTTTAAAACTTTTTGTCTTTTCTCGAGAACTACTCTTGCAAATCTGAATTATTGGGTTCAATCTAAAACTTCAGGATGCATGAAAGGCTCCGTTCATTTGTTTTACGCCAAAAGTAACAATTTTTGGAAATATCAAATTTTGTGTTGACTGTTTTTTGTCAATAGCTATTCTTCTCGATATAGCTATCCGGCCAAATCTGATATAGATTTTATCAAAAGAACGAAATATAGAAAAAAATGTATCAAGCCAAAGCTTTGAACTTTTGAAAGTTTTATGGACTGTACTTGAAAACTACTATGCCAATTCTCAGGACACGTATTCAGTCGAGAAAACGATTTTGTGAACCTTCTCTGCTTAAGCGGCTACAACCTGCTTTATGCAGAAAAGAAGTATTGTTTATGTTAAATGTTTTGACCGATTTTTAGAAACTTTATGAATTTTTTTTAATTTACACAATGAAATCTGAGATGGAAAATTCAATCGAATGATTAGGTTGCGGAAATTTTTCCTAGAGGAATGATGTCTTTGGAAAATTCCAATTTCAAAAATTTTCACTTTTTACTTATTTTAGCAGAAAAACAACCGATTGCGGATTTGTTGGGTTCCCCTTCACTCGGGTATTCGATACCCTGCCTACCCAAACGGTTCCTCCTTTGTAATATTTTGAAATATCTTTTTCTGGCTGACTGACCCTAAAATCAATTTGGCCTACCTAATCAACCGATTTTTTTTTAAATCCGCCCCTTTGGAAAATCCTAGATCCGTCCTTGGAAACAACTTTTGAGTTTTTGATTTTACCAATGTCGTCCCGCATCAGTAAAACAAGTTCAAAAAAAATCGAATTTTACCTCCAGCATTAGCTGTGCCTCTATTTGTCTTTCATCGAGATAAACTTAACTTTTGGTTCACCTAATTTTTTTTTCAAACAGTTTTTTGGCTTAAATTTTTTATCTTTGTTTCATTGCAAGTGGTGCGAAGCTTCGCTTCGCCTCTTTGCTCAAAATGTACCTCTAACGTATTTGAAGCCTGACATCTTCAATCTAGAATGATTAGTTAAAACTCAAATATTTGATTGAAAGTTAGGCTCAAATGCCTTTGTTGCTGATTTTCTGAGCCCAAAAGCTGAGCGTACAATATTGGTCTCGTTCCTCATCTTTTCTAAGCGTATAAACTCTGTGATTATATCAAATGTTGAAGAAAAATAACAGCAACAAAACGAAACATAACTGCCCGGGTTGACCAAAAAGTTGCTATCTTGAGAGTTGTTGCCAAAATTTATTAATTTAATACCATGCTACAAATGCCGTAATTCAAGTGGATATTTTCTCTGTTTAAGAAATTCCTTAAGATTGGGCTGAGTTGCCTATATGCCGCACTTGCTTGTTTAGATTCCTTAATTGTCTGCCCCTGACACAGATTACCGAAAAATTCCTAAGCTTCAAAGCTCTGTCTGAAGAAAAAAGGGACTATGTGTGGGAAAACTGGGAATTAGTCCCGTATAAAAGACAAAGTTAGGGGTTTTAAAATTGAATTTAATTCGGTCCGTCTGCATTTGATTATGGGCTTACCATTGACCATTTTGCACAAGAAAATGCCCAGTTGCCACTTGGGCGCCGTGGTGGAGTGGTAAATTAGCGGCACCCCCAGACTGAACAGGAGATCGGACACCCCCAGATTAAGTATGAACATGTTGGGCACATTTCGCATGCGTTTGTTGGTCAGAATTCCAACTATGACCAGTATATTGAGGAGGATGCCGAATGTGCCTATGAAGCAGTAGGTGGCGAACACTAGACTCGAGTCTGTCTGCATGTAGCCTTCACTTGAGTTTCCGCCACTCACAGGGTTCCCCTCGGAGTACGAGGACCCCAGACCATCGGGGCCAGATTTGATCATGTCGTCTCTTATATCACTATCTGACAAAACTCAAATTTCTAGCAATTGCTATAAAGTTTAAACCGTTTATTATATTTTTCACCAATTTTGAGTTCAGGTCAGCAAGATGGAATATCGCATTTACAATTCTAAATGTTTTGTGGTGACCGCCGGTAACTTTAATTAAAAATGGACAACAACAAAAAGAAACTAAATAACTGCCAAGGGAATTGATCATTGTAACTCTGTATCAATCAGTCAAATGAAAAGCGAAATGTTTCAAATCAAATTGCCTGTCAGTCCTGACAACTAGCCTGGCCTTGTTTCATTTGTAAATTTGGCATCTAATTTGCACAAAAAATTTCAGAAGCATATCAAAACATTAAGATAATCAAATCATTAAGACAATATTGTAGTCACCAATTCATTTTTTGTTGAAAAACGTCTCGAGACGTTTCTGATGCCTTGAAAAAATGTGAAGGTGGTTTAAGGGGTAAAGGGGGAAAACATTGATGGGTGTAAGGGTCAAAGGGCCAAACGCTAGAGGGGGGGGGGGTAAGGTGAAAAGGACCAAAAGTTAGTGGGAGGAGATCAAAGGATTTTGATTGATTTCAAATGAATTATAATTAATTTAAAATTGAATAAAAACAATCGATTATGATCGATTTATTAGTCCATTTTGATCGGGAATCGATTTCATTGGGAATCAATTATAAAGATAAAATTTTAAAACTGAAAAATTTATTTAAATTGATTTATTTTCATTGTACTTGTACGTATTTCAAATCACGTTTCAACTTATGACCAATAATTTGAGTTTTTGCCGCCCGCAAAAAAAGTTGTTCGGGACATAATCTGCTGAATGGATTGAAACCAACCGGCCTTTTTTCAAAATATGAATGGTCAAAACTTATGAAAAAAATAGAACCTGACGACTGCTCTCTGACGTCTATGAAATAATTGACGGATTTAGAAAAATTGATAACGTTTGAAATTTTTTTTGAAAAATCATCACCTCGCACGCTATTTAAAATTTAAAGTGATATAATTAGCGTAGTTTCAAAAATTAATGAAAAACTGGCATGCTTCAATTTAATTTAGATAAAATTTTGAGCCGAATTAAATTGCCGCTTTCTTGATTATTAGCACAAATTATATCGCGCGTTAATTTAATTATCCCGAATAACCAAATAAGCAATTTCCAAATTTTCTTAACTTTTCAAGAAATGATCACAGGTAAATCATTTTTATAAATTTCGGCTCAGGTCATCATTAATTTTCAGATTAAAAAAAAACTATGTCAAAAAAGGCTGGTTTCTAATTGGAATTTTCGGCGCTAAATATGAAACTGCGTCAATTTATTGGTCAAGGTACTGTTTTGTGTGTCGTACAGACTTTTAAGAACTGACCATTTGCTTAATTAATCATTTTTTTAGGCTTGAGACTGGATTATTTTTTGTACAAAATTTTTTTTTCTGATTAAAAGCCTCATTCTGATTAAACAGTTTAAGAACTCCAAAAAAACTTAGATATAATCATGGATCAAAACTTTTAACGATTTAGTTCAAACTGGCCCACTACTGAAATTTTTCCCCATGTGTCGTGGATAAAACTATTTGATTTGTTTGTTCAATAGACAATTCAGAACGCAGAAACAATAAGTGAACAATGCTGAAACCTTTCTGCTTCGGGATGTTTCCAGAAAATTAATTAAAGTATACGAATAAGAGAATTTTTGTCTCTGGTTTAGAAGATGTTTGGTGAACTAATTTATTTTTTTTTAGGTGGGTTTTGACTTCATATGTTTGTCAGTGTTTTGATTTTGTTCAGTTTCTGAAATGTTTTGAACAATTTTTAAACCTGTGAAAAAATATAATTGAGTTATTTCACGAAGTGCGTATTCTTTTGGATAATAGGGTAATAGGTTGTTTCGATGCTGAACAATTTCTTTTTTATTTGAGTCAGTAAGTTTGTATGTTACATCAATGGGTTTATCAATTATTTGATATGGACCTTTTCGGAGTGGTTGTAATTTTTTGGAAATTCCTTTTTGTGTTGTGAAGTTAAGAATTAAAACAAATGTTCCGATTTTTAGATCTGTTGCTGGTGTGAAGCGTGAATTGATTTGGTTATTTATGTTTTGTCTTTGCAACAATTTTTTTGTTATTTTTTGATAAATTTCTTTGTGTTTCTTATCTCTATTTAAGATCCATTCGGTGTGTGTTCGCGCTAATTTTAAAATTTGTGGATGATGAAAGTGGTCTTCATCATGGGTATGTAGTGGTAAGTTGTAACAAATTGAATCTTTATTTGGTTGACAATAACCTTGTGCATTTTTCTGGGCGTTTGCTGTAAACATTGTTGGTTTTCGTGGTTTTTGACTAAATACCTTTTCATATGGTGACATTCCTAGTGTTGTTGTAATTTGTGAATTATAGGCTAAGGTAAATTATTTAACATCTGTTGACCATTCGGTATATCGTGTATCATTTCCATTAATGATACATCCGAGATATTCTTGTAATGATCGGTTCATACAATCGACTAATCCATTTGTCCAAGATGCACGAGATGTACGTGGTTTATGTTTAATATTATATAAGTGGCATAATGTGATAATTTCGTTATTAAGAAACTCAGTGCCACTGTCCGTGACTAGTATTTCGGGTAACCCGAATTAGGCTATCCAGTGTTCGAAAAGTGTTGTATATGCATAATAAGCATTACAATGAGGTACTGGGTTGAGGGCTACATATTACGTAAAGGCATCAACAATGACCATTATATATGAGTTTCCTTCTGAGGATGGTAAAATTGGTCCTTTTGTGTCAATTGAGATTCTATGGTTAAAATATAGACTTTGTCACTTTGTCCTTTAAAATTTTGTTTTTCTGCAACTTTTTTTGATTTGGGTAGGGTTTAATTAATTGGCATATTATACAACCGTTGCATTATACTTTAATCCAAATTGGTGCATTTGAGAAATAAAAATTTTGAATAAAGTTGGAGTATGTCTTTTCTGATCCTGAATGTTCTTTAGTGTGCAGGGTATGCGAAGTATTGAATGCTATTAACATCATACTGAAAGGTAGACATGATACTTTAAAATCAGTTGTTTGATATTCTAAAATATCTGTGTTTTCATTTATAGTAGTATTGTTGATTTTTTTGAAGTATCTAAGGAGTGTTTTGTTTCCTAAAATTGTGGTATCAGCTTTGTTTGGTTTAATTTTATATTTGTGCCATGATTTTAGCTGTCTGATGACTGGGTCGAGGTTTTGATATTTTTGTAATAATTCTAGTGTAATTTTTTCTGTTGTTGGTAGAAAATGTTTTCTATTTCTATCTTTGATAGGGGTATTGTGTCAAGTGAGTCACGTAGATTAAAAATTTGATTTATTTTGTATTTTGAATCATTTGGTAACGGTCCTGATAAGTTTATTGTATCATTTAGATTTTCCTTTTCTATTAAAGGGAATGGGTCTTTTTTATGTGATTGTTGTTTAATTCGTTTTTGTTGAGTATTTTTTTTGATCCAACGTGAATATGGAATCGGCTTAAATGTAGATGTACTTAATAAATCAACTTCATAGTGGTTGTTTTGACAATCTTAATATAGTGGGAAATGTTGTAGGTTGTTTAATTGTGATTGATCTATGTCAGTTTTCACTGCATAATTGCATTCCAATCGTGGTGAAGTTTCATCTTTAGCAAGATAGAATTTTTTATTTTGTGGTATTTCAACTGTTGTTTTTCTCGTTTGTAGTTCAGGTGGAGTATTTCTACTAAGAGTATCAGGCAGTGCAACGTTTTTTCCTGCTGTCCTTACTATGTGTAAGTTTGGAAATTTCTTTCAAATTAATTGAAATCTGTAAACTCTATGGTTTGGATTTGATTTTTGTGTAAAAAGAAATAAAATAGGTTTGTGATCCGTAAATAGAACTGTTGGATGTTTTGATCCAAGTATCAAAAAAATCATATTCTGTAAGAAGATATATTATAGCTGTTCATTCTCTCATAAGAGTAGAGAATCGTAAGTCAGCTTGTGTAAATAGGCGAGAATTTGCTGATATGAGATTCAATTTATTCGTTCCAATGTGAGATTGTAGTAATGCCGCACCGATGTCAAAATTTGAAGCATCGCACATTGCATAAAATAGTTGATTGGGACCTGGAATTGTGTTTGAAATTTGTTCAGTGAGGAGTTTTTGATTTCTTCAAATCGGGTTTGATGTTTTGTTGCCCATTCAAAAATATTTTGTTGTCTAAGAATGTTATAGAATGGTCTTAAGTATAACTGCATTTTATAGACATATTTACATTCCAAGTTTAACACTCCAAGGAATTCTTGGATTTTTTTTGTTTGTAGGTGGCTGGAATTTTTGGATTGCATCTTCGCGTGATTTCAATGGGGTTATAGTGTTTTTCTCTATAATGTGTCCAAGAAATTTTACGCGTGTTAAGAAAAAATGTGATTTGTCTGGGGCTGCTTTCATGTTTCCATTCTGTAATATTTGATGAGATTTTTCTAGAACTGCGAATATTTCATTTTTGTTTTGAGATTGCATAAAGACATCGTCTGAGTTTGTAATTGCTTTTTTCTTGAAAATAAGTGGTCTAAAAATTTTACTCATAAATGCTGAGAAAGCTGTTGGTCCAATGGATATGCCATAGAATAATCTATTGAGTTCGTTTTGTTGATTTCCGAAAAAAAAATTGTTTTAATCGTCGTGATTGTTCATCCAGTGGCATTTGATTATCTTTGAATCTTTATGTGGTTGACAACAACCTTGTGCCTTTTTATGGGCGTTCGCTGTAAACCTTATTGCCTTTCGTGGTTTTTGGTTAAATACCTTTTCATATGGTGACGTTCGGTTGCAATAATTTTTCATATGGTGACATTCCTAGTGTTGTTGTAATTTGTGAATTATAGGCTAAGGTAAATAATTTTACATCTGTTGACCATTCGATATATCGTGTATCATTTCCATTAATGATACATCTGTGATATTCTTGTAATGAACGGTTCATACAATCGACT